AGCTTTGGCCAAAGCTTCAAAGAGCCACATGTGACCCCAGAGTTGCAGGTTGCAGACCATCGAGGAGGGCAACACCATCCAACCTTGAAGCATGGGTTACAGTTAGCAAGATGCCAATGAAAAAAGATATTTTGTTATCTGTACTGTCCATACTGCCTGATTTGTTTTAAATTGACAGCACATGAAACCGATTCTCTTTACCATCTGATTGCAGTTAATGCCCGATTCTCCATCAAAAATGATTACCCCGCACAGAGTTAAAATAACGATGAAAACAGAGGACAGAAAAGATTTTTCTGACAGAAATGAGATCATCATCCTCTTCAATAGATGAATACAAATGCACATGTGTTTGTCATTGAAAAGTAACTGTGAGATCTATTTTTTTATGAATCAGTTTAAACACTTCTTTGGCCCCTTTGGAAAAAAAAATCCTAAAAGCTTTAATGTGTTTTATTGTTTTAAAAGAAGCTTCAAAAGGCCGGGAATGAACAGTCTAATATCTACACATACCATAAATAAAATGATTGAACACTACTACTCCACAGATCCATACTGCTTTGGGAGCGTGACGTATATTAACACAAGCTTTATGAGAGACAACAAAATAATACAAACCCAAACAAGTTAATCAAGCCAGACCAGTGAGAAACTGGTGTGAGAAGAAGAGAAGTTCTGAAGCCTCTGAGAAGCAGCTGCTTCTGTCATCACACAGCTCTTTTCTGCAGATGCTGAATTTTTGCTGGTAATTGAAGCTGAAACCAGACCTAGACTGTCTCGAACCCCCTGCCACCGCACCCTCAGGTTACACACCGTTACCCCACTTAGTTACACCAAGTGAATTTTTGCAGTCAGGAGTTTGATGTATGGACGGGAAACGCATTCAAGTTTGGGTGTAATAATTTCTTAGAATTAAAGGAGAGATTTTAAAAGAAACAGCGAGAGAGGCTGCAAAATGACCTGATGGAACATTATTGTGGATTTAAACCACCATCAGCTCTTGAAAATGATTGGTAATAATTTCACATTTGTGGTTTAAATCRGTGTTTTTAACCCTGGTCCTCAAGGCACACTGTCCTGCATGTTTTAGATGTTTCTCTGCTTCAACACAGCTGATTTCAATTGATTACTGATTAACAGGTTTTTGTTGAACTGCAATCCTCTGAAATAGGTGTGTAAGAGCAGGAAACCTTCTAAAACATGCAGGGCAGTGTGTCTTGAGGACCAGGGTTGGGAAACGAATAATCAACTTGACACAACAGACCCAAGCTGTGACTTCTCAATCTAACTAAACCTAATACTATAGACTCAACCAGACCCTAAGATCATGTTTTCTTAGGGTGTATTCACACCAGAAGTGAACCGCACCAGAGTTCATTTGAAGCAGACTGAGACCGCCTCCAGAGGTGGGTCTTGGTCCGCACCAGGGTTTGCATAAAATGCTGTGTTCCAGTAGTCCTGGGAAGTGGTAATTTCCCTGTTCCCATTGGTAGATTTAAACTGGAATGCCCCCTCCAGTGGTAATATTCCACTTGTATAGTGGAAGAAATGAAACTGTCCCCAGTTTCGATTTCAAGATGGCGGCTACTCGCAGCTTTAGAAAGTTAACTCCCTAACTTTTATTGTTAACTATCTTTCTAAATGTTTTTGTGCATGTTTAATCACTCGCACAAGTACTGTGTTTTCTGTGCAATACTGTACGTATTAAAATCAATGTTTACTTGCATGACATACGTAGTAGAGCTCTCTTTTTGTCATTGTTTATATTGTAGCGGCGTTGTAGCTAGGTTGTAGCTAGGTTAGCGGCAGCAGTACAATTGCCTGTCAGCTAACTGGAATGCAGTTTCATAGTTTGTTGGGAAATGACGTCACTACCATTTACCAGTTCCGGGAATACGATGTAAATACAATGCAGCAAAAGGCTCGAACCAACAGAGAAAACGAACTCTGGTCTATTCAAAGCAGACCAAATGTGTCGGGTGTGAATGCACCCTTAAAGATTGTTTTTGTGGTTGATTTACAGTCACCTTGAATTCAATTCATGTGTTCAAACAGAGCCAAGCCTGGGTCTGTTTGCTTAAAATATTCTGAGGTTTATGCTGAGCCAGCTAAATACCTGGCTTACATACAAGGCACTGACAGTTTGTAGCCAGCTCTCATTCTGAAAGCACTCATTCATAACTTAATGCTTTCCACCCAAAGTAGAAGGACATTTACCTAAAAACAGATTTATCCAAAATGAATGATGTTTGTATATAAAGAAGGTGTCTGTACGACCTTATAAGGTGCTTTACTCAGGCTTCATGTGATTCAATACTTCATAGATCTTTTTTTCCTGAATGCCCTGAAGCCTTTGTCTGAGCTTGGTTGGGGCTATATATATTTTAAAAAAAGGCAGCTACTCACTTCAAAGCTGGGCGGGCGGCTTGGCTGGGACAGAACAATGTACTGTACAGCCAGGTTGAGGTAAGCTGTGCGGTAGGAGCTGATCTTCTTGTGACCCTGGACCAGTTTGAACAGCTCCAGGCACATGAGGCCCGCCACTGCTGCTGTGGTGGTGGCGATGGCAGGAATAATCCTCCCAGCGATGCGCTTACTCTAAACAGAAGACAACGAGAAGGAAGTTTTACCATTATAAAAGCCTTAACTTGTAAAAAAAATCTCAGTCCTGTGAAGGGCTCTAAGTTGTCCTGAACAAGTGACCAAAATAACATATAAATAAATGTAATTGTGTGAAAGGTATTGATATGATCCATGTCTTTTGTATACATTTGTCGGCATGAATCTTGTTCCATAATTTAGTGCTTTTTTTAAAACAATTTCTGTATCAAAATATTCATCTTCCGCAGGACATTCCAGCTATGACTTTTGGTATTTCAGTAACATATACCTTCTGAGATATTTAGCCTTTTCTGCCATTTTTGCTCTCATTGAAAATGAATGTAGCTGCCTTTAACATCCTTAAAATCCTTCAAAATAGTCAAACCTTTCCTGCCTTTGTCACCTTTTTTCTGGTTCTGCTTTTTTTTATCTTCCTTCAGCTTCTTTTTTTAAAACTCATTTTAGCTTTTTTTCTGTTCTTCTCAGCTATTCTGCTAATTTAGTTCTATCATCTTTTTTGCTAATGTAAGCTTTTTGTGCTATTTAAGCTACTTTTCAGCTAGTTACGGCTAATTTAAGTTTTTTTCAACTAAATTCACATTTTGTGATCATTTCAGCTCTCCCTTTCAGCTGCTTAAATCAGCAAACGTGTTCTTGTTCTGATTTTTTGTGCTAGATTCTGCTTTTTCAGCTCCTTTTTAGCCACACTTCAGTTAATTTGTAAATTACACCGTCTTCGTAAAAGAACAATTTTAGGAAATTTCTTAACTAAAATAAAATAAACATGAATCAGGAAATTATTCATTAGCCGAGGCTCTAAAACGTCCTTGTCCCGACAATTCACATTTTGTGTYGCACCATTACTCTGAAGCAGTTACCTAAGCACACATTGTGATAAATTTACTTTTTATTTACTCTACATATTTAAAATATAGCCTTGCCACTAAAATCATCAGTGTGATCAAKATGTGATACATTTGTAAAAAAACATTATTTTACAGTATGTGAACAGGCCTAAAATGATAGGTTAAGTCAAAGTTATTAACGACACGTGGAGATGTTTGCAACATATCACGGGGTCAGCACTCTTCTGCCTCCCCTCACTCTGCAGCTCCCATCCCCCTCCCTGCAGACCTCCATCTGTCGGCAGCAGCGGCGGCGGGTACAAGGCCTGGCTCAGGTGTCACCTTCCAGGCAGCAGGTAAAGTGCTGTGATTAGTTCTGCTCCGGGAACAAAAGGTGAGGAGGCTGTTCATGTGGCTTTGGGGCAGGTGTGTGAAGAGCCAACTATAAAAAAAAAAAAAAAAACACGACCCCTGGGGAGGAGGGTGCAAGTCTGCTGCTGCACCTTTTCTATCCCTCTCTCATATTACCCCTCACCTCAGGTTCATTTGTTTCGAAAACATCCCTGATCATAGATGTGTGTGGATTAGATGCACATGATGCTGACCTGGTGGCGATCAGCTGGAGGGATGTCGTAGTTCTCTGCTCTCAGATTGGACGCAGCCACAATGTAGTCCATGTGGAGGTTGCTGTCATCATCCTGTTGCGATGGTAAATCTACATCAGTCATTCAGTTAACATTTTTTACATTGTCTACAGCAGAGGTTCTCAAACTAGGGTCCCTGGACCCCCAGAGGTCCGCGAGAGGTATCCTGGGGTCCTCAAAAGTTTTTTTTCTAAAAGGTTAATTTGGTTTTTATTTTTAAAAATGCATGGAGAACAATGAACTAATAAAACAAACATAATAAACTTAATAAAATATTTATTCCCATGGAATTTAGGGGTTGAAATGACAATATATTATATTTTTAAACAGCATGGGGTTTATGAGGGGGTCCCTGGAATTTGTTTCAACCTTGTAAGGGGTCCCCAGACCCAAATGGCTTGAGAACCTTTGGTCTAGTGTGTAAGTTAATAACAAATACGGCTTTAGCATCACAAGCAAACAGTGAATAAAAAGGAAATTCCTCAGGGTTCATGCATGTTTCAGTAAGTTAAATTTAAGACCATTAGGAATGATATTTATGACCAAACTGAAGCATTAACAAAAACATTCAAATGATTCCAAAAATTTTAACATAGCTATCAACTTAGCTATGAAAGAATTTTTAATTTTAATACAAGAACACCAAATTATTTTAAAGAATCAGTCATATCTATGAGACCTTCATATCGACTGCAGTGGACCGCTTCCAACCAAGTGCAAAAATCACAGATTTTTACCTGCAGTTATCACGGGATTTATAATTTAACACGTAAAAAGACTGGTAGCAAACTAAGCACTTCACAAAGACAGATCACATCAACCTCTGGTTACTTTGCTTTACTCTATTTATGCAGCCAATGCTACTCAGGAATGAATTAAAGTAAAAAAAAAAAAACAAGACTTGACTAAATGAAATTTAAGACTTTGGATGAAAATCTGGTGTTTTTAAGACTATTTTTAGGCCAAAAATGTAGATTTTCAAATTTTAGACCTTTTTTTTAAGACTTTTTAATACCCTGCACGAACCCTGCCTCATTCAGGACTAAATTAATAATACTGATATTTCCAACAAGGCAGGTCAGAACCAAGTCCATGCCTGGTGGTGGTGTGATGCTCTTCACCCTCCCTGTTGCATTACTGCGGTCATCACGTCAGAATTCAATGAAACTGAGATTTTTGTTGTGATCAGTGTGGCCGCTGACGTCAGGCCTCTGCTCTGGCAGCTCTACAAAAGCYTAGAGACGGACTGTCGTACCAAGATGGCTTTAGGGGTGGCGAAGAAGCTTCAAGCTGGCAACCCGATGCCTTAAAAACCCTCCTACACACATTCCATCAATCCACGAGCAAGGCACGCAGGGCTTCAGCTGAGAGAGGGGAGTTTGGGAATGTAGTTTTCATTCAAGAGGACATTCAATAGGTGCATGCCTTACCTCATACACCTCAGTTACCTCTCTTCTATGAGATTTACCATAATCTCAGTCAGACAKTTTCTTAAAATCAGTCCAATTTCTTTCAGATTTCACTAACAAAATCTGCAGAACTTCAACTACATCCTCCCCGATGCTTTTGCTGTTGGTCTGTGTTTGATTTAAAGACTTTTCTTAGCCAAACAAACCTTCCAAACAATGTTTCTCTGAATCAGCTTCAGCTAATTTTACAGGCTTCAATGCTTCTACTGTATGTAGAAAAAGGACAGTGTTGTTTGGAAATGAGTTATATTACAGTATGTAGCTTCAAATCTATATTTAAAGAAAAAAAAATCCAATTACTTCAGAGATGAATTTTGTTTTTTGTTTTCATTTATTGTTGAGTAAGATGGGTCTATTTACACAGAATTCTCAACATTTCTTACTCAGTAATTACTCTATTTATTTAATTAATTTATAAAGAAAAATCATAAATTCTACAAGTCATCAGTTGTTCTAATTTTTCTTTTTAAGATGATCAATTCAAATTTAAAAACAACACTTATTACACGATTTAGGCAGAATTTTTCTGCTCAAAAACCACAGGCTGAGAAGATTTTTTTGTTTTCTAATTATCAAATTATTTAACATTACTACAAAATCTGCCACTGATTAAATTTCTCAAACTACTGGAGGAAACAAACTCCTCCTTTCTGTATTCCCACCACAACAAACCAGGACAATGGTAGTTTGCTTTAAGTTGCAATGTGGGGATTTTCCTCAAAAAGTTACTTTTTTATCACAAAAGTAAACATCAGTGTCTGTGACACAGCTCTATAGTGAATAGACAAGTTTACAGTGACTGTTCAAACATGAAAGTAAAACACTATTAATATTAAAAAAACTTTGTTACAAAAACATCAGTCATGAAAGTGTATTGAGATATTTTTGAATATGATGTTTTTGTCACTTTAGCTTTCTTATCAGCAATGAGAAAACAACCAAAGAGAAAGATTTAGGGTATGTAGACATTTGAAAAACTCCTCAGTTACTCTCAAAAAGTCCCAAGAACTGAAAATCTAAAATAATMTAAAGTCATTTATTAGGGGGAAAAAAAGCTTAGAATCCAACTTTTTATGTTCAAAATGAGGGTAAATGTTGACACACACTCATGATAAATACTAAACTTTTTGGGTAAATGGTAATTTATTACAAAAATTATTTCAAAAGTAAGAAAAAAATGAATGTGTTCTTATTGCTTATAGAAACAAGTTATACAAAAAATAAATAAAAATAAAAAACTGCACTCAAACCCTACTACACACATGGTCCTACCAAATAAATCTGTTATTTCAATGTGTGAATAAACACAGGAGAGATCTGGCTAGGATTTTATTAAGGGCAATGGGTATTTTACCTGTCAGCATCCAGAATAAAAACTTTCATTAAAGTTGATTTAATCTACTTAAGAAGCCGTGTGAGTGGACTGTAGCAGTCTACAGATACACCATTATTGCTCAGAAACCTGACTTTAACACCTAACATCTAGGTTGCACTGCATTTCATCACTAACTCAACTGTTCTTTTTCCTTTTTCTGAAAAAAAAGGAAGGACTTTTCCAGAATACCTAACTCAGCTGCGAGACACTGTGTGTGTAAACTGAATACAATCGCGCTCTGTCTCATGAATGTGCAGAGTCCTGGCTCTGATTCAGGTCACTGAGACACACACACATTTTGAATGCATCTTTACATTTAAGTGTTGCTCCCTGCTAAGGCTCAGGCTCCACTCTGTCCCTGTGTGCAGCCTCTGTGCAGTGTGCAGCGGAGGTATCGTGGTGCTCTACCTTCTCAAAGTCGACGGGGTACATCTGAGCGGAGCTTTTCATTGAGGACAGTTTTCCCTTCAGCTCTTCAAGTCGAGCTTTGTCTGAGGCAAAAACACAGAGAGAGCTCACACGTTGGAAGAACTCGGGTGGTAAAGTCACTAAATGAAAGCATTAAAAATCAACTCACCAGCATCATCACCCTCCTTCTGTTTCTCCTCCTCCATTTCTTTGTCAGTGAGATGAATTTTTACGGAGGACTTGGGAGTAAAAGGTGGTACTTGGACGTTTTCTAAAACATTTCTGATTGAAGCAAGGTCTCTTGTCCCTTTGATGCCGAAGAGCTGMCCGTATAGATTAGCTGCTGCCATCACATAATCTATATGTGTAGTCTAAAATACAAAAAAATATATAATTATTTTTTACCTTTAATTATCAGAAAAGAAAATAGAGAGAAATCAATGCAGCTGCATAGTTTTGGATTTAAAAATCAGTTGAGACTTCACTCAAATTAGATGGTGTCTTATTAAATCGGTCAGAATTAAAACTTTATTTCTCCAAACTGATGTTGTTCAAAGAGAAAAAATATCTATGACAGGTAAGATGATCACTGTTCATAACATTTCAAGTTGCAGGACAGACAAACAACTTGGCTAACAAGGAGGCTGGTGTGAAGAAAGCAGATCTTTATCTGCATTTTATTACTTGTTTGTAGCCCTGAGAAGAATCGATTAAGTGGTCAGAGAGAAGGAGTCACAATCAGCCGAGATAAGAAGGAATGTGAGCAGCTATCTCCAAATACTGTGTTACTTTGTTGTTGTTTGTTTTTCCTCATCTGTTTGGTGTGTATCAGCAGTGCTACTGCATGATGAACTGAGCCAGACATTACTCACGTTGTTAGGGTCAAAGGTCAGAGGATGGGGGCATCTCTTGGTTCCAGACCAGAAGGGCAGACCAGAGGCAGTCACCTAAAGAGGGAGCCAAAAAAAAATCCCTTTATCATAATCAGAAAACAGCTGTAAAACCACGGCAGATTTTTATATTTAAACGATTYCTCATTAAAATAGCATCAAGCAACACAGCACAGAGCGGTGGCAGCCACAGCTGCAGTGAAATTTCTCATCCACAAAACGTGGGATATATAATACGTATATTTTAGATGGACAGAGTTCTTTCAGTCAGATAAATTGTGTCAGTAAACAATGTGATAAACCCTCTCTCTGGTCTTTAGATGCAGCAGGATGACGGCCAGGCACAAACAATATTATCAGCCATGTGTTGACGACACAATTTGTATGTCTGATAAAGGAACAAAGGCAGCTTTAAAGAGGCCAAATGGTCCAAATGTGGAGAAAGAGAGAGTTTAGCTAGTTGGGGCAGTTTTCACTGCAGGGGGGCTTTTGGTTGCAGTCAAAAGGCACCAACAGTTTCAGGCCTTTTTAGACTTCAAATGGCTCAGGAGCAGAAGGTCTAAAATAATGAATTTCTCCCTAAAAAAACAAGGAAAGCAACTGTACTATGTGCCTGGAAAATACATAACAAACCTCCCACCCCCCATTTTTATCTGTGAACATTGACATCTGAATAAAAAAATGTTCAAAATGCTTTTATATTAAGTATATAAAAAACATAAACATATTTTAAGTTTTAAAGACAGTTATTCTGAAATATCTGCTTTATGAATGCATATCACTTGTTGTTTGTTGCWCATTATGGATGAAACTTGTCAGCCAAAAAATACCACTGCTAACATGCTGTTTTGGTTTTCCCTACTTTACTCAGAAGATTTTCAAAATGAGCCAGAAGTTGTATTTAGAAAGATTTGAACCTAATGATTAGGAAGCTAAACTTGTGTTGTTTTTTTCTGCCAACTGTACATTTTCAGATAAAGTTTATACTTAGATGCTGACAATGATCTAAAAATTGATAACAAATATCTGGAAAAGTCTAAAAATATTGAAACAGGAAATGTGTAAAAATGACCAGTCAGGACAACAGAGAGCTTTTAAAATAAAATAAAAAAACCAAGCACAGGAGGAAGAAATACCAAACCCTCAAGTAATAAAATGACTTCTATATTAAAACATTGTATAGTAAAACTTCCACACTGACTTCTTTGTGACGACTGCTAACCCAGAAGTAGGCGTTACATCATGTGTGTCGTTATCTGTGTTTGTTGCGTTCCGTACAATCTGTCAGTTTGACAGATAACTGACATCAGCCACCTTATCATAGTTCCTCAGAAAGTCTGTGGCAACAAGCGACTTTCCAAGAGAACAATAGAGCTTCAAATCTTGTACAGGTTTAACATGATGGGGAAAAATAAAAAAGGAGAACCAGAACTATGACAACAATCATCAACGTGGCTGTGGTTTTGTAACCGTTAGGTGAGCCAATAAACATAAAACTGCAGGAAAACTATGAGACGCTCAGGGAATTCTCCACAATTTTCGAAATATTTAAACAGCCGCGAGCGGAGTGGGGGGTGARTGATCTGAGGAATTTCCATAACCATGCAGGACAGTCAGTGACAGTACTAAAGGAATGGCGTTAGTAACTGGGRTTAGTGAGGGGGGTCTTTTTGAGTTGATACTGATGCCCGACCCCACCCCATCACCCCAGGTGTGACAGCGRCATGTGACATCACTCTGTCTGCATGCTTCAACAGATTACAAGCCCTTAAAGCCCCTCAGAGATATTTATCAGCAGCTGCTTTCAGGCAGTGTTAGTTTTATCCAAGCCTGGTGAAATACGATGCTTCTTTTAGGCTCTGATGTCTTACCGCAGGAAAAGATCTCACACATGCCATCAGTGCCCCCATGTGTCCATGAACATAATCTACACTTCATGACATTTTTGTTTTCTTCCACGTATGAATTACCTCTTGAGGAGGGAAACAGTGCAGAAGCTGGCAGATATCGTTGTTATAGAGAGTCTCCCATTTGCAGCGAGCCCAGCGAACGCAGTCCTCCCATTTCTTCGGACGCTGTCCTCCAGCGTCCACGTYCTGCAGGCTGCTCCAAACCCCTTCAAGAACCTCCAGGGCCTCAGTGTCTCCATGTGTGAGAGTACGCTCTATGAACTTTGGATCTCTGCGGGAAGAAGGGAAGGAATTCACTGTAATTTGGACATACAGTACAGCACACAGATGGTAATAACGTTTAAACAAACTTTGGCTCCGTCTCACACATGACTGCAAGATGTCAAGCTCAGAGCATTAGTTGGAAATGACGCTCAGCTACTACCACACCAAATATTTTCACAATATTTGTGAAAGTGACCAAGCTAACATTTCTTGTATCAGTGAAGTAAAGATTTTTCCTCCTCTGCATGCAGGTACATGCAAACAGGTAAAAACAGGAACATCTTGAGTCAGACTTCTGCATATAGCTGCGTAGTTGGGTCAATAGCACAACAGCGTATCGCTGTTTATTTCCATGACCTCACTTATTGGGACCTAAAAGTCACAGGACTACGACATAGAGCTTTACTTTAAATACACATGAAACTGTGTAAGTACGTTACAGTGAGGGGGACGATATCAGATCTCACCAAAACAAACAGACATCTTAGAAAGGCTCYGGCGAGCTCAGACACAGTTTGGGTCCAATGATTTAGGTGATGGTGTGATAATGTCAGTACCTTGTGATCAGTAAATCCAGGGCTATTCTTAAAACAACAAGCTCAAACATGCACCAGTTAATGAAATCTTACAAATGTAAACAGTACAGTCACTAACTAATTCCTTGTAAAGGTACAGYGCTTTCTCAGTGCACCTTTTCATTTTAGACAAAGTTATGTCTTTTTTTTTAGGAAAAAAGAAAAAAAAACAATGTTAAAGCTGCCGTGGATTACATTTTTATTGTACAGAATTAGGCACAAGTTTGAAGCCTTCTATTATTGTTTTTGTAACTGGTAAGTCATGCCAAAAAAGGTGAAAGAAAGTAAAGTGATGGCAGATTACCATCCATCGCTTGTTCCATTTAAACCAGAGCTATTGAACTAAACTGCACTGGGGGCCACAGTTACTGCAGGCCGACAGCTCAGGGGCCGCACATCCAGCAATTAAAGTCATTATGTAAATAAACCAAGTATTACAAGATCTGTTACCTTTGAAATAGTTTATAAATAAATAGTTTTTGCTGCATTTAATCATTAATACAACATATAGGACCCTATAAAAGTAACGATAATTAAACAATACCAAAAACAAAAATAACACATTATGCCTCCTATTTGACACAAATATTATTTTGACATCTSTGACTTGCCAAATTTTTAAAGCAATTTTATTTTCACTTTCATAGTTTTATCTTCAACTCTTATAGTTTCAACTGTCTTGGATTTTCATAGAAATGGTTTTTACCAACCTGTAGCCAAGATCCTGATGTTTCTGTTGATATCAAACATGTCTATTTCTAACTAAAAGAACTTATGCTAATTAAAGTAGAAATCCGGGGGTTTGGGCTGAAGAGATGAATGAACCAATTGGCGGGCCAAACTTTGGTCACTCGCGGGCCACATCCGCCAGTTGAGTAGCCCTGATTTAAACCATATGAAGATGGAATCATGTCTTACCTCAAGAAGAAATTCACGTTTTCAGCCGTTTGTTTGAAAAGTCCTTCAAACTGATCCCTGGCCCACTGAAATGATGACATGTTCCCTTAGTGTGATGCGAAGAAGTGTACATTATATATATATATAT